CCATATTTAACATACCGACCAGAAGACTTCAAACTACCAACACTTATTAGAAATAAAAAATGAATAAGAATACTTCCTTTCTTTTAAATCAATCATATCAAAGTACTCATACCCAACGTGTATACACGTGATGTGCTTCGTTGTTTCTTATCAATAATTCTATCGTTACTCATACATACCAAGTAGAAGACTTCAGACTATTAAGTGTTATTAGGAATAAAAATGCATGTGTATATATATGTATATATATATATATATATATATATATATATATATATATATATATATATATATATATATATATATATACATACGTACACACACACACAGACACACACACACACACACACACACACACATATATATATATATATATATATTATATATAATATATATATATATATATATATATATATATATATATATATATATATATATATATATATATATATATATATATATATACATACGCACACACACACACACACACACACACACACACACACATATATATATATATATATTATATACTATATATTCTATATATATATTACTCTATATATATATATGTATATATATATACATACGCACACACACACACACAACACACACACACACACAACACATATATATTATATATATATAATATTTTTTTTTTTTTTTTTTTTTTTGGGCTTGACGGCTTTATCTCTCCTAATTCCTTGGTTACACACAAAAAAGGGAAACTGCTGAGGAATCAAAGTTCCTTAAAATCTGTACATAAAGACCGAATTTCGAAAATCACTTTATTCTATTTTCAGACATCATGAAGATCATCCTGATAGCTATTGTCTTTCCTTTAGTGTCCCTGTGTACAAGTGCCGAATATGGGTCACCCAAAGTGTTCGAGTTTTTTGGCTCCTTTTTAAATTTCAAGAGTTATTACAGTTTCGTGTGTGGATATAATGGTACGAAACCTCACGATGTGTGATCCAGATTTATTGAAAAGTAAGACAGCAGATTGCAACTTTATTTTTGCTCCAACAAATCTGCAGAGTATGGATACTAAATATAAAATTTGTAATTTATTTCATAATCAATTCATAGGATCAAGTACAAAAACCTGATATTAATATCATTACCAGCCTTGGCTTTCGCAATACGCCTTAAACTATTGCAATATTCATCACATTCCAACATGGATCCGGAATCGTGACTGGAAATAACCAACTCGTATCTAATTCAATAACTTTCTAGCTTACTGCCCATGAGGTCAAATCCGCAAAGGTACGAATAAGCTTTATACGGATATAAACAAGCGTAGAATACATAAACAAAACGAGATTATCACTCCTTTGAAGACACGAAGACAAAAAATATGGTCATAGTCGTGGATTTTCCCAAGACCTGTCTGAGGCGGCCAGCAACAGTGTTTACAGGTGTGTGCTGCCGCTTCTGAACTAGTTTTAGTCATTTCATATCTAGTATTAAGAAAATACTTTGCTTTCGGATTATATAATCTACGAATGAGTTCAAAGCTTAAAAAAAACGCCCATAAGATGGGCGATGAATCGATATTTGAAGGCGATGAATAAGATCTGTATTAGCATGATATATACATGTGTGTGTGATTTATACCCACGGTCGTGTGGAACCAAAATCAATGGATGTCTCAATCAATAGTTGGTTAAATTTTACTCCTATTCGAGGCGTCCAGCAGCAATATTTTATGCTAAGTGCGAGTTTGTCAATTTCAAATTAGTATTGCTTCAATATATTCAGTCATTCTTTTATCTAGCTTTCAGAAAGTACTTTGTCTGTTATTTTAATATATATATATTATATATATATATATATATATATTATATATATATATATATATTTATTGTACGGCAATTAAAATATAAAATCTAGTTTCAAATAGTGATTTTAAACCATAGTTGTATGAAAGGAATATATAACATTCTTTAGTTAAAACTATCTGAAGGTTGGGCTTAACGACCTTACCTCTCCTAATTCCTAAAAAATGGGGGGGGGGACTTGGAAAGGAATCAAAGTTCCATGAATCTGCACATAAAGCCCGATTTTCGCAGGCGATGTCATTGTATTCTCGCTTCAGACATTATGAAGATCCTTGTGATAGTTACAATCCTCAGCTCAGTGTCCCTGTGCACGAGTGCCGAATATGGATCTCCCAACGTGTACGAGTTTTTGGCTCCGGCGAGGCTGAACTACGGCTTCAACGCAGGGATTCGCCTTCCTCAGCTTCCGACGCTTTCGTTTAAGGAACAAGAGATTCCTGTTCCCGTTCCTGATTTGGCAAATGTGGAAATTCCGTTCGTTTTTCCCATATTTAACATACCCAGCAGAAAACTTCAACCTTACCAAGAGTTATTAGAAATAAAGAATGAAGAAATGTATTGTTTCTT